TTTTGCTTGACTGCCAGGCTCCCACCACCCAGGAGATGTCTCGGGGGTGCAAGTGCAGACTGGCGTGGAGCAGGGTCTCAGCCACTGACAGCAGGCGGCTGACTCCCTCTTTCAGGTCCTGCTCTGCACATGCGTTCGACCCCAACAGTCCTTCCTTCCCCTCCTCCTTTTCCTTCAGCCTCTGCCTGCATCCTGTGATGTCCTGGGCAAGGACTTCTGCCCTTTCTGGAAAAGCAGTGTTTCCTTTCCAATCATCCAGCATTTTCTTCTCAAGTTGTTCTCCATCCTTCTGTGATGCCCGGAGAGTAGGTTTCTCATCAGTGGCCTCGGGAAGGGTAGGAGGCTGGCTCCCCCATCCCTTTGCCAGAAGACCCAGAGTGTCCTGAAGGGACAGCCTCAGGTGTGTGGTCACCTCTGCCAAGCTCAGGCTTTGTAGGGTGGGAGGACTGGCCTCCCCCATAGGTAGCCTGCTGGTGTCATCAGCCGGAGTCGTTCATTCTGCAGTGTCAGCACGGTTTCCAGGTACTTCTTGGTGGGCAGACAGCTTCTGTCCTGAGCCTCAGTACATCGTGAATTCCATTCCTTCCTTACCATGAAAAGCATCTTCACAAAATCTGCCAGGTTCCCCCACAGGACTCCACAGAGCATCTGCACACAACCTGCCAGGATGCCCCAGGGGACTCCAAGGAGTCCTGATAAGCATCCCCAGCTCTCAGCGATCGCCAGGAGGGCCCCCCACAGGCGCTCCAGGATCAGCTGGCACATGAGTCCGGCGGCAGGCAGCAGGCCCTCCATGGCTGCGGGGGCTCCACAACTCTGCCTCTGAGTGCCAGTGTCTGTGGGCAGAGGGGACCACTCAGAACCCTGCAGAGTTCCGTCGCTAAGGGCAACAGGTGCCCTAATAATACGGCAGGTCAGTTAGGTGGGGGAGGGGAGGCCAACCAGGTCCTAGAGCACTGCTCTCCCTACCTGGCCCTGCAGCCAACCTGGGTGACAACACAGGGCCAGACCAGGTCCCTCTCTGTGTGTGAGGGCCAGTCAGGGCAGAGGTGCTGGGCCACGTTCCAGCTGAGGCCTGTTCTCTTGATTGTACATTTTCTTCTGCTTTAGGGATTTCCACTGCTGTCCACCAGGGTCCCGGCATCTCCCTCGTCTGAGGCTCCCTCCCTCCTCGTGTTGGTCACTGTGGGTGTCACGTGAACATGTTCCCAGCCACTGTTTATGGAATCCTGGGAACACAAGTCCAGGCACACCACAGCCATGCTGTCTGCTGCTCAGCCCAGTGGTGGTCTGGGTTTCAGTGGCACATGTCCCCAGACTAAGCTGTGTGCGCCCACACGCTTCTCAGGGGTCCTTAGGAAGGGGCGGTGGTCACCCAGAGACAGGCCCGACTGTGTAGCCTGCCTGTGGACGAGGGCTCCGGCCAGCCACGGGGTTGGTGATCCTGAGTCTCTGACTGGGGTTGTGAAGCAGCGATTTTTAATCTTGGCTGCACATTAGGATCACCTGGGGAACTTTGACACATCCCGATGCCCAGCCTGCACTCCAGATTGAATCCCTGGGGGTAGGACCCAGGCATCAGTATCCTATAAAGCTCCCTGAGAGAATTCAATGTGTTGCTCAGCCAGGGAATCATTGCTCTAAAGCAGAACAAACTTGGAAAATGCTTCAGTAAAGGACTAACAAAGTGGCATAGGAACAAGGCCACCACCTCATGCTGGATGTTAATACTCTTATCCAGTGTCCGACTGCACTGCAGCCCCTGGATGCGGAAAATGTAGCCTCTCATTGTAACCATGTGAAAAATGTAGGTCTGTTTGATTGTAGAGCAGCTAGAAACTGTGTACTCTGGGAGTCAGGGTTTGTAGGAAACTATGCCTCTGAAGGGCAAAGGCCCAGAAAAGATCAACCCAGAAAGATGGCCCCCCAGAGTCATCCCACATGAGCTCTCTCCCCCTGGGAATTTGTTTTTACTCCCTTGTCTTCCTGAAGAAGTCCGCCTCTTCATTCTCCCGGTCCGCAGCTCAAACCTCAGCTCCCTCGTGAAGCCTTTCCTTCCCCATCCCAAGCAAAATCAGGTCCCTATTTTTCTCGCCCCTTACTCCCTGTCTGTTTTTAGCAGTTAATCATAAGTATCCTAGAATTTAGTTATAGTATGGCAGATAGTTTATTTATACCTTGATCCTCTTTATGGGCCTTACTTACCTTTGCTGCCCTTGTACCTAGCACGTTGCTTGGCTTACTGAATGAATAATCTGGGCTGCAGCAGTTTTAGGTAGTCAGAAAAGGCATGCCAGCATCAGGAGAGACCGAGGTTCAGGAACTTTTCAATATCATTGTCTCTGTCCCATTTCTGAGCTTTGGGATTCTGTGCTTCCAAGGGGTGGGGCTGCAGAAATCAGTGTCTACACCCACTGATGTAGAGTAGCTGGAGGAAGTGATGGAGGAAGTCCTGGCAGCCCTTTGGCTGTGGTGAGCTTGAGTTTCATCTGCAGGGTTTTTCTATGAGAGGAGGAGAGAAACAAGAAGTTCACAGGTTTAAAGTCTGTGCATTAACTTTGTACAGTGACAAACGGTAACTACACGTAGTCGTAGAGAGCATTTCATATACATATGTCATGGATCACTGTGTTGTATACCTGAAATTAATATAATATTATGTGTCAACTGTGCTTGAATTAAATTGGTGAAATAGGTGGAGGGAGAAAATGTTAGAATGTTTGGTATGTTGAGCTAGGTGATGGTTACATTAGTGTATACATATGTCAATATACATCCAACTGTGCACTAAGATTTCTGCGTTTTCTTGTATGTATCTAAAAAAACTTTTTTTCTTAAATAAAGCATGTGTACTGACTACGGAAAAACTGCCTGTGCCACAACTCCTATTTTATTTAGGCCACAGGCATCTCCAAGTAGTTTAGAACAGCTCTTTCTGCCTGGGAAAATTGCTTGTCTGTTTTTTATTTTTAAACTTTAAATATTTTTTTAAATTGTTGTTTTGGCTTTTTGTAGGTTTTTACTCATATGAAGGTGAAAAGATAACTGCAATTTTACAAGTGCTAGGGTCATTGTAACTACAGGGAGAGGAAGTCTTGGGACAAAATACCTCTAAAACCAAAATCAGTCAAAGGGAGAAAGTTTAAAACCCATTTATTGCTTACAAACTGTGGTCCAGGGCCATCTTTTTCCTGCTTTGGCAAAAGCGAGCAATACCTCCCTCTAACCTCTCAGGTTCAGATAAGCCCTGGGTCAACCAGGTAATTACCCATTGATATGGAGATGAACTACCATCTCCACCCCTGAGAAACACCTGTTGATATGCAGATGCACTAAAGCCAGGAGAGATATTCTGGAAATATTACAATTTTACCCACAGTCATGCAAAACAGAGTTTCTAAGATAGTGCTAATTTAGTTTTTATGTTCTGTTTTCAGACTGCGATTTCTGTTTTTTTTTTATATGGGAAGTATGATTGCCCTTCAGCCATGCTTAACAGTCTTTCAGGAGTCAAAATGTCTTACATTTCTCTTTGAGAAATTGAGTGGGGCTGCCTCATGGATGAAGGAGCTTAAAGGTAACAAGTTCTAACAAAACAACATTTAGTACATTGTCCTGAGGTGCAGACTTGTTGAATGTGGTTCATTAATGAGAACGATACGTGTTAATACTCTTCTCCCTAGCACAGATGAGTGCAAAAATCCTTCAAGGAAAAATGGGTCAATAAGAACTGCTCTTCCCATAAGAACTGTTCTTTAATGCCACCTCCAAAACATCAGAAATGTTTCTTTGTGAGGTGTTGCCAGGAGCCCACCAAGAGGGACTCGAGGCCCTGCTGGAATATGTTGCTGGAATGCCCTCCCCTTGTGCCACAGACCAGATGGAATTGCTCTGGTTATTATGGATTCAATTGCTATGCTTTCTCCCGCTTAATAGATTCAGACCAAATTAAGCTATTATAATCTGACTGCAGTCCAAGTCCCCTCAATTTTAATTGAATGGCCCACAATTATGCAGTCTTTTTACCTCTTAAGAAGTGTAACTTTTTTCCCCTCACTGAATAGTACCAAAAAAGTTTTGAAAAAGGCTAAACTTCATAATATTCTTTTATATCTGAGGATCATAAGCTTTTAAAAAGTTGCTGAGAAACAGTTATAGTTGGTTGTTTTGAAGTACATGAACAAACACCAGAAGGTTTCTAGTAACCTCGTTACATTCTTGAGAGGACATCCTGTATGTTCCTTAGGCAATATGTTACTGTATGAAACAATAACAGAACAGAGTCAAAATGTGTCATTGATAGGTAGCAAGCTCTTGTTACATAAACCACATCATCTTTTGGAAAAAGCAAGCTATTTTCAGATGTGACTGAATCAGCTGCTAATTCTGGCTCATGTACAGTGTTATGGTTGTTTCATATGATGCCATGAGGCTTCTGATGTGGAAATTCTGCCGTAAGTAAGGACAGGGTCCTTCCTAGGAGCCAGCCCATTTGTATTCACAGATTCCCGATAGCTGTTTCCATGGCTGACATCTGTGGGTTTCCTTCTGCCCAAGGGATCCCCACCTGCAGCCTCAGTGCACTGGTATTAGGGCAGTCAGGAATTTCGTACATACTTGCCCAGAATTCCAACAGTTCCCGCAGAGTAGCGCCCTGACCGTGAGCCAGATGTGAGCTCCCTAACCCTCTGCGATCTCCCAGGAGGGAAGGGAACATGGATATGTTTAGGAGTGGGGCTTGGTATGAGTTCTACCACGCTTTTAAGGTCAAGAGAGGGGGAGGCCAGAGAGAGCCTGAGCTGGAATCAGCTAAAGCGGCTCCTAAAATTAAAGGAAAATGGGGCCAGAGCTTTTGCTGGATAGAGCCCACTTTCCCTGCCGAGGCTCAAGTCCTACTCATTAACAGATGACAACCAAGCTGAGGAGCAAATAAGACAGCCTTAGGGATCAGACTGTCACGCTTTTTTAACAGGAGGCCTCGCTCTTCTTTTCTCATCCAGAACTAAGAGACAAACACTGAATATGGTTTTTGCTCACAGAATGGATAACAGCAAGCCGCCCTTGGTGACCCCTACACTTCTGGTGCCCCTTCAAAACCACAGCTGCTCTGGGACAGTGACCCTCCTGCCCAGCCGTGACCTGATGTCCGAGGAGCGCGGCTGGAGGAGCAACAGCACAGACCTGCGGCAGGGACCGAGGGCCGGGGAAGTGGCCGCCGCCAGCATTTTCTTTGGGACCCTGTGGTTGTTTTCTCTCTTGGGCAATTCCCTGGTTTGTCTGGTCATCCACAGGAGTAGGAGGACTCAGTCCACCACCAACTACTTTGTGGTCTCCATGGCGTGTGCTGATCTTCTCATCAGCGTGGCCAGCACGCCTTTTGTCCTGCTTCAGTTCTCCACCGGGAGGTGGACACTTGGCAATGCCATGTGCAAGGTCGTGCGGTATTTCCAGTATCTCACCCCAGGCGTCCAGATCTATGTCCTGCTCTCCATCTGCATGGACCGGTTCTACACCATTGTCTATCCTCTGAGCTTCAAGGTGTCCCGGGAAAAGGCTAAGAAGATGATTGCAGCCGCGTGGGGCTTGGAGGCGGCCTTTGTGACCCCCGTGTTCTTTTTCTATGGCTCCACCTGGGACAATCGTTGTAACCGTTTCCTCCCTCCCTCTTGGGAAGGGACTGCCTATACAGTCCTCCATTTCTTGGTGAGCTTCGTGATCCCATCCGTCCTCATAATCTTGTTTTACCAGAAGGTCATAAAGTACATTTGGAGGATAGGTACTGATGGCCGAACAGTGAGGAGGACGATGAACATTGTCCCAAGGACAAAAGTGAAAACTATCAAAATGTTCCTCATTTTAAATCTATTGTTTCTGCTCTCCTGGCTGCCTTTTCACGTAGCTCAGCTGTGGCACCCCCATGAAAGAGACGATAAGAAAAGTTCCCTTGTTTTCACAGCCATCACATGGATAGCCTTTAGCTCTTCAGCCTCTAAACCTACTCTGTATTCAATTTATAATGCTAATTTCAGGCGAGGAATGAAGGAGACGTTTTGCATGTCCTCAATGAAATGTTACCGAAGCAATGCCTATGCTATCACCACTAGTTCCAGAATGGCCAAAAAAAACTATGTTGGCATTTCAGAAATCCCTCCCACGGCCAAAACTATCACCAAAGACTCAATCTATGATTCGTTTGACAGAGAAGCCAAGGAAAAAAAGCTTGCTTGGCCCATTAATTCAAATGCACCAAATACTTTTGTCTAATTTCTCAGAATTCTTTCAATTGTTGTTATGCACCCGAGATTAAAAAGCTTTAACTATCAAAACAGAAGCTGTTTATTTATTTTTTCAATCAACTTTATGAGGGAAATGTGTTATTTTGGTCAAATGCATCCACTTAGTGTTTCTACTTTTTGCTGTTTTTACTTTAGCTGCTTTTTGTTTTGGGGACACATTCACCTTGAACTGTAGTCAAGTCCTTTTACTGTATTAGTTACATGCATTAAAAAAGAGAATGCTCTCCTACTTTTTACTTGCTATTATATCCAAAAAGCATAAACTATATACAGCAGTCTTTGATTAATGATTTAACCTAGTTTTATTCTGTTTCTTTTTTCCCTCCTTCCTGAAATTTTATAACTCTGGGCTTCTGTTCCAGATGAAATCTATGTCACACTTTTCAGAGGCTTGTATTTCTCTACTAGGCAATATTTAGGATGTGTGAATATTGTAGATGTTTTTACATTCCCTTCTTCCAAGTAATCGCTGTCCAGATCTATGGAAAGCACTCCATGTATTGGAATATACCAGAAATGCTGAGCAGTCTTCTGTGATGGAATTTTAATCAGAATTCTTAAGGGGAAGAAAAGCTGTCCAGTTGCTTAATTCCCCCACCCACACGTCTCTTTTGTTCCCTCTATTTCTCTCATTTTTATTAACCTAAGCAGCTGATCATGCCTTGCAAATTCGAAGTCAGCATGATTTTTTCCCACATCTGTGACGCATCCAGGCCATGGCAAGGATGTTCAGTTCTGTTCTTGGAGTTAAACTCAAGCAAATGAGTAGCTGCCCCTACTAAGGCAAGCCCAGAAAATGCCAAAGGGAGAAATGACAGGTGGTATTTCTCCGTGCTCTGCAATTCAGGCAGAGACCTTCGGCTGCCCAGCCCCGCCCGTGTGCACTAAGGAAGCAAGGACAAGGACCACCTTCTTAGGAACTCCCAGGAGGCCGTTTCTCCAGCCAGTGCCTCCTCCCCTCATCTCTCTCCAGAATACATCGTCACACCCTCACCAGGCTCACGTTCCTCTTTGCCTGTGGTAATGTGAGATTTTCTTCTCTGGTTGCACGTCTCCATTATTTCAAATCTAGGACCAGCACATTTAATAAATGTCCTTATTTAAACAATAAAGGGCTTACAGACAAGACTGGTGTGCATTTTCACACCCTGGTTAACAGGCGCTGCAAATGATTCTAGTTGCTCAGCGATTTTACTTGCATTGTCTCATTTTAACCTTTTGAGAATTCTGTGATGTACTACTATCATCCCTATTTTATCAGTGAAGAAACTGGAGCTCAAAGTTGTGTGACGTGCCCCAGTCGGAGTGTGATGAAGCTGGTGTCTACGCTCAGGTCCTCTAACTGCAGGCCTGATACTCGTTCCCGGGCCGTACAGATGTTTCTTCCAGAGAACACATGAGTGGCCAAACCCATCCAGGCCTCAGTGGCCGTCCTGGCTGCTGGCTTGGTGGAAGTCTAAGGTCTAAGAGAATCTGGTCATTCTTAAAAGGAGACTCTAGATGAAATTCAGTGAGCTGGTCCTCAGCTTTTCCTTGGCCATGGATAGGTTCTTGGACTTGTGGTGCTGAATGAGGTATAGAAAGAAGCCTGGATATTCCCACCTCAAAAACACAGGGGAACAAGATTGGGTTCGATATTTGGGGCATGGAGCATCAACAGTAAAACATTTCTTCTACAAAACATCTGCAAAGCTGATGTGTTTAAGTGGAGGTGCTTCCTTCAAAAATTTCAAAAGATAAAAAGAGTATCTCATGTTTTCTCCCCTTTCTTTCTCCTTCTCATGCTCTTACTTATCCTGGCAGCAAATGGCACTCCAAAATGACAAAATGAGCCAGATGTTTATCTCACTTGCCCTTGAATTTTATGGTTCAGACTTACTCAAAAACTGAAAAGACCCCTGCAGTAGCTTTGATTTTTACCTTTTTAAATGGAATATTATTTTTTAAAACTAGACTGTAAAAAGTTAAATTTAATTCATTGCAATTTTATTTTTATGTATATTTTACATCTCAGTTTAAACTAAAAGCAACTAGATGCTTGCCATGCTCCGTTCTCTCATGTTCTGTGCGTTTACCCCAGTAGGTGGACATTTCAGTGAGACAATCTCATACAGACTCTTTTTAGAGAAAGTAGCTTTTAAATAAGTCCCCAAGTAAAGGCAAACTAAGAGGGTTAAATCATAATCGACAGAGCCCCCAAGTTTCACAACCCATGGTAATTCAGCTGTATTCTTTCAGCATGCTGATAATTCAGTGTTTTACAGTTTAATATTCAGGACTCTGGTTGTCTCACTTGATCCTGAAATTGGAGAAAACTGGATATAATGCACAGATGGGTGCAGATTTGCACAATCCCAGCAATACAAAAATATTCACTGTAACTCACACTGACCTGGCAAGGAGAGTTAAGTCCCGGGCGGGCTGTCAGGGAGAGTCACTCCTCACCAGGCCCATGGTGAGGGGCACCATGAATCTGGGTTCCTGTAACCTCCAAACAGGAGTTCAAGAAAGATGGCAACGGGGATGTTCAGAGTAGAGACAATTCACCTACCTGGCCCCAAGTTCTCACAGACATCAGAGGAAGGGCCAGAGATGCTTCCTTTAGGTGGAATTTGAATTTCTCCCTTTTTTTCTAATCTTCAGTGAAAACATTAGCCCAAAAGGCCTGCTGCGGGAAAGTCAAGAAGCACTTGCTGCCCAGATGTGCTTCCCTGTGGCCTTCCTGGCACAGGGGTGCCCAAGACACCTGGAACTGGCTCTCTGGGCCAGAGTTCTCTCTGGGGAGGACAGTTTTACCCAGGGGACATCCACCAGCGATGGGGGAGCAGGGTCCTTCACCGGTACGGCCAGCGATTTTGACTCTCGTGGTGGGCAGAGCCCCTTCCATTCCCCCCACCCCCACCCCCAGTCTCAGTGCCGCCTGCTGGGACTCCCCGTGAGGCCAAGGCAAGATCTAGGGGAGCTACTTGACCAGGATCGGCTCTGAGGTTACGCTCCTCCATGAGAACCACCTATAAAAGAAGGAGAGAATTAGAGATTCTGAGAGTAGAAGGGACATTGGGAGAGCTTGCCCAAGCCCTTCATTGTTTAGAAGAGGAAACTAAGACCAAAAGAGGTCAAATCGGGGGTGAATTAAAAGGCCTTCGGCCAACCATTCCAACATTCTTTTAATTTCGCCATCCTGCTTGATTCACTTATTGGAGGGGAAAATCCTCACTGTGTGCAGAAGGCTATGAAGAGCAGAAACAATTCCCCACTGTTCCCGAGCCTGCTAGTTCACCTGGAAGAAGGAGCGCCTGAGCGCCGTCAGTAGCGACCAGTGGAAACAAACCTGTTTTGCAGAATGGCCGCTTGATGGCACTGTGGCTAGCCGGCAGAGCCGCCCCTTCCTGGGGTCTGTCCCTTGGGGGGACTTCAGAGCGGTCTCGGTCTCGTAGCAACGAGACAGGGAAAATTGCTGAGCATCCAGAAGCCGCTGTAGATTAACTCATCAATCAGTGTGTTCAAAACACAAAGCATCTAAACATGGGAGGAAATTTCAAAAGAATACCCTTTACAGACCTGACATCACTAGTCAAAATATTACTTTAAACCCGTTTTACAAGTGCCATCATTTTCCAAAAAACCCCAACAGACCACAGAACTGGCAGCAGGGCCACCCACACCTACTTTCTCTCTTTTCTGCTCCTTTTATCATTTGAGAATTCCCAGACTTTTTCATAGCAATGTGATTTAGATTCTCCCTAAAAGCAAAAGGTCCTGTGCTCTTGGTAAATAAATATAAATATAAATTTATTTTTAGGCTTGTCACACTTCCCTCAGACTCTCTTTAAATGTTTGAGCCCCTACAATTTGGGCCATTCTGAACTTTTTGCTCAACTGAACGCTTCTATTCAAAAGCTCTGTATTGTTTCTCAACAGAAACCTCTTTAAAAGCACTGCTTTCAAAACTCTCCATCAACCCTAATTGAGTTACATGATTAGAATTATACAAATAGGATTCGCCTATAATGTGAAGAATGTGCAATTTTTATACTGCAGGAAGACCATCCCCAACCAGTGCTGGCTCTGCACCCGTAGGTGCGTGTGTGTCTGGCTTTAGGATTATGATGTAGGTCTGGAAGCTCGAGAACATAACCTGACTTTCAGTGGGCAGTCAGTAAAGTCTGGCTGTTTGCCCATAACAGCTAGATACAGGAGATTCAAACTCCTTTGAGGGAATTTTGAATGAATCCTCTCTAATCTGCTTCCCTGTTATAACTTCCAAAGAACCATCTCATTAAGAAGACAGTGTTCTACTCCTAGGCCCCTGAATGTGCTAGAAACACGAGACCATGGCACATATACCTGGACTGCAAAAAAGGAGATAAGAAGAGTTGTGTGGTAGAGATGAATGGTGGCACAGTAGCTGAGAAAAGTGGATATATACTCTGTTCATCAGTGTAGGGTCCTTTGGACTTCTGGGCTGTCTGCTGGCAGAGGTGCTGTACTTGAATGATGCAAAATCAGTAAAAATTTGGCACAAAACTCCAGTGATCTATCCAGCCAGCAATTTCCCTTTATCACAAAAGAATATGATAGCTGCATTCAGCGGCTCTGGAGACCACTTCCTTGTTGCAGTGAAGGCTCTCCTCACCACCTATTTAGCCCAGACAATTATTCTCAAACTCCAAGCTTCTCCATTTTTGAAATGGGAAAATAACAGAGCCCACCTGTGTTAGGATTCTCCAGAAAAACAAATCCAATAGGACATAGATGACGGTGGACAAATGAAAATATGTTAAGGAATTGGCTCATGAGATTGAGGGGACTGGCAAGCTTGAAATCTGTTGGGCAGGCCAGGAGGCTGGCAACTCATGGTAGTGATGTTCAAACTCCAGATTGAGTTTGAAATCTATAGGACTTTCCAGAAGGTAGGATTGGATGCTGCAATCTTGTGGCAGGATTTCTCCTCCAGGAAGCCTCATTTCTGCTCTTTAAGCCTCTTAACCGATTGAATAAGGCCCACCCATATCACCAA